AGTCCTTTGTGTAAACCAAGCGTGCAGCTGATGTTTCTCTTTGCTTCCAAACATTTATTTTCTGCTTTTGTATCTGCATTTTCCTTCCTCCTCAACTCAGATCGTGAGCATCCTGCCTCCAACAGCTGGCATTTATAGAGCTATAAGTTCCCGTAACTTCTACAGGAGCTCTGCATGCTTGAGCATGCCAAATTGAGCCCTCAAGCTATTCTGCAAATAATTTCTACAGTAAATTTCATTTGTAATGACCTGAAGTGGAGTTTGCATCATTTAGGAAAAGTTATATCTTCTCACAGAGCTCTCTTCTTGCAATGTTAAATGCAAATTTTACTCATGCAATTAGTATACATATGGAATTTATGGCACAAAAAGTGTAACTGATTAAAACAAACTGAATCACTTTAAACGGCACTAAAGCACAAGCATACTTTTGTTTAGAAAACCTCTTATTTATCTTATCATGACTTTCAGTTTAGGGTTCTTTCTAACCACGATATGGTGTGTTTGGGGCTTTGGTTGTCTTTTTTGGCATTTCTCACTCAGAACACCTGTGTAAGATGGGTTCCTTGACTCCATAAACAGCTTGCAGGGTAAGAATTTATTATTCAATGAATCTTATTCATGCTGTTTAAATGAAAGGAGGAGTATGGCTAATGGTTTCTTCGGCTTAGTAACTGGAATATTTTATAGTTTCATCTAACTTTTATCTTTCTCCATCTGTTTAAGTGGCTATATTCCTCTCTAGTTGAAAATTTCAAGGCCATTCGCTAATATGGCATCCAAAGATCTTGCAGTACTCCTTATTCTGCCCCTTTCCCAGATTCCCCAAACTCCAGTGTTTCCCAAAACTAACTGAACTCATGAAAGAGGAAGAAGTGTTGAAAGAATGAAAATGGAGAGTGGACAGACAACTATTTTGCAAGGAAATTCAATCTAAGTCAACTCGGTCACCGTGGTTTTACACACTCTTGCATTGATAATCTTCCTCACAGTTTGAAATTTCTGGATTCTCCTCATTGGTGTCCAATAGCACTGCCAATCACTCTTGTTACTTCTTCTATTTGGCGTATTATTTAGCTTTCTTTAGTTTCTTTTTCTGGTACCAGGGATCAAACTCGGGAACTTGTGCTTGCGAAGCAGGCGCCAGAACCACTGAGCTAAATCCCTGGCCCCATATTATTTATTCTGTGACTCATGGGATCCATGACCTATAATATTCTTAGTAAACCAGGAAATTGCAAGCATTAAACCTGGCTGTTTGTATTTTCTTTTAAGAGACTAAGGAAAGATAACGTAGGAGGTTGTTCCACCTTCACCTTCATAGAGCACTTCTAGTTCCTCTTTCCACCAAGAAGGAACTGTCACTCAAAGACCATGATGTGCTAGTTGAATCTCTGATCTTGCAACTGTCATTCCGAGACTTGAATCCATCATGAGGGATGGAGGTGGAGGTGGGTGAGGGAAGAAACTGCTTTCTAACATTTGCCAATTTCCATGAAATAAATACTTCCATCCAGGTAAACTTCAGTTGAACAAGAGTTTATGACCTAGGTCCCTCATTTTTTGAACCTGCATCAATTGATATCCAATAGCCTTTAGCTAGCTCTTCCCCACCCCTGCCAAAGGAACTTATGTAAAAATAATGAAGAGCAATAATACATACTGTTCACTTTCTACCCTGCTCATCACTGATTTCCATTACTGAACTGTAGGCTCTTATAACTTTGCCCAGTCTAGGCTAGTTCTAGGCAAACTTGTCAGGTGGGTGAGACTTACCCAGTGGGCCCCTTACTCTGTCTTTGGTTTGCCCACCTTCTCATCCCTTTGCTATTCCTCGCCATGCCAAGGCTAGGATCGGCCTGTGATTTAACAACACTACAAAATACTCTCAACACTGTTCCAAGTGCCGGCCCAACTTTGCATTCACAAATTATCCAATCAGGTTATGCAGCAAAGACACAGGGGACTCAGTGGGCACATTTCCTGAGTGGTCTGAAATGGTGAGGGTGATGATTTGAACAGACTAGCTTAACTTTGAATAGTGATTCGGTGGTACTACCAGATACTGGGAGAGCCACAGAGCTTTGATGCTTCTCGTGTCACTTCTCAAAGTTTGTGTGACCTATTAGTCAAAATCTCTCCAAAACAAGCTGGAAAACTCAAGGGGGTAGAGAACATTATCTTGCTTGGTTTATCTTGCTCATCATTTCTGTGTTTCCCAAGGCATTTCTTCCAGGAGGAAAGAACCAAGTCATGGTCCCTGACTGTTCAAACTTCCCCTGTTCTCCCATGCCTCCGTTTCCTCACTCTGTGTTGACTCCTGATCATCTTCTCATCTGGTAGTCCTTTCCTTACTTTCTCATAGTTTTTTTTCCCACCAAAATTGGTGTTTTCAAATAGATTCCCTTAATTTTTATCCCATTGTATCTCACCTTCATTCTAATTTCATTAATTCTCTATATAATGCTTGCCTTACCCACTAGCGATCTGGAGCAAGTTATTTCAACACTGTGCTTTAGTTTCATCATCTGTAAAGTGGGAGACAGTAATATGCACACATAGAGTTACCGTGGCAATTACCGAAGTTAATAGGGGAAATTCATGGAAAACGGCAACTGCATTTATAGTAATTTTGCAAGAAACATCAGCTTTTATTACTAAGAGTCATGTCTGGTACTTTAGCTCTCATCCAACTCTTAGCTCTTTAAAAGAAAAGAGACCATGTCTGCTTGTATCTTGAGCCTCTTTTTCTTACCTGGCCTATGGCAAAGTCTTAATACATATTTATTGACTAATGCATACTATTTGATAATTTTTGCCTAGTTGTTGCATATATATATATATATAGTATATATTGTGTGTATATATATATATATACACATACATATATATATGGTATATTATATATACTACAAGAGATGTACACAGGAATAACAGTAATGAACAAATGGAGCGGTTAATGGTTTTAATGCTGGATGAACTACATTCATTGAGTTCTCATAATATTTTCCTTTTGTTCCCTCCAGTATCAGTGGTAGCATCCAAATAAGGTCTGTCAGAGCAACAACTACATTAGCTTCATGTATTTAAATGTCAAATAGCTTTTCAGTGCAGTGAACAATAATGGCAACAATAGTAAAGCTGGTGATGGTAGTAAACTGCTTAAACAAGAATTATGCACACATACTGGGTTGCCTATTGCAGCCTGGGAAATGAAGCATGGCTGGTGTTGAGAGATGGAAAGTCATTCTTCTATTAAACTAAGGATGTTCTGAAGTCACTGCAACAAGTAAAAATGAGTAAGATGAATAAAATGAAAAATCTGAAACTCAAAGTCCTCCACATTGAGATAATGTTTTAAATAAGCATTGTGAGATATCTAGTCCACATAGATTACTATAATGAGGGCACTTATAATCACCAGTACCAGTAAAGGTAAATTAGAGACTTGATCCTAGCCGAGACAACAATCTTTATTTTGGATTTCAAAGGGCTTCAAATTCCTATTAATCTATGATGTAGTTCTATTGATAACTAGTACTATTATAATAGAGAAGAAAAAACTACAGAAGACAAACAAGAGGGAAACGAGTCAAGACTATCAAAAAAGAGAGCTGGAAAATTTTGACCTCAACATCTTTTCTAAAATGTGAAACAAAGCAAGTTTTGGTATCAATGTCACATCATTCCTTCTAGCAAAATATTTTTATATTGCAAATATTTGCACAGTAACCTATGCAACAGTAAACTATGCAGTAGCTCGCATGGTAAGCTATTACACTACTGAGTGCTAGGGTAAATGCTTACAAATTATGGATGGGTTGAGCCATATGTGTATAAGTATTATTTAATTATGAATCTACCGTGATTACAGTACACTTTCATATTTTGATTCAATGTCAAATTAAGCTTTCCTTTGGGTCAAAGTGCTATGATTACCAATGTAGCACTACTGCAGGCTAGATATTGTCTTTAGTTTACTCCAGAATTCTATAAAGTAGACATCAATAGTATTTTTTCTTGCAGTTGAAGACTGAGGCTCAGAGAGCCCAAGAAATTGCACAGCTTTGGGCTTTGAATGTACATGAATTCTACCTCCAAAGCAAACAGGCTTCACCCTTGCAATCCACTGTCTGTCAGTAATATTGCTTGCTAAATCAGGCTGATTGTTTATTATGTACTGTGTGCTCTAAACACATTACATTATTGACATTCACAAGAAGTCTGTGATATAGACAGACGAGAAATTCAGAGAGAAAAAGCCACTTTTTCATAGCATAAACTAGTAAGTGGCGAGGGTAAGATTTAATGCAGGAGGGTTTGTGGCTCTGACACTGGTAAACACCACATCATGCTCCCTCCACCTGAAATCAGGGCTCCTCTTATATGAACAAGGCACATTACTACACAAACACTGAATCTTTCGTCAGGAGGGGCCGTGCACTCTTCATTCAACATGAAGCAGAAAGAAGCTGGGTCTCTCAGTAAGGTTATGTAAATAGGACAGAAGTCCCAGTAGAACTTTCCAGAAAATACTCAAATTGAAGTATTGAATATTTTCTCTGTTCACCAAGTCTCCTGCCCCTTTATACATAATTCATGATACAAAAGTTGAATGACTCAACAGGAAAAAACAACCGAGGACCAGCATGGGTGCGGACCTCAGTAGGCAACTCATGGCTGAGAGTTTCAAACAAACTCTCTCCATTATAACTTGAAGAAAACATGTTTAGATTGTTTTAAAAGTTTAAGGTTATGCAATACAAACATGTACTGATAAAAAAAATTAAAACTAAAAAAGAATTTAAAGATAAAAGTTCAAGGAAGATTTATACATGATTGAAATAGAAAATAAATATCATGCAAAAAATTAAAAGCAACTCAACAATATTAAACATAGAAATGAAGGTTGGAGAGAAATAAATATTTAATAAAAAGGTAAAAGAAGCTCTGACCGATTCGTGTTTCCGGTGGCTGCTCCTGTCTTGTGGTCTGGCGGGATGAAGGACTCTGTGCTCTTGTGTGGGTCCCTCCTCCTCTCTCTGTTGGTTTGGAAATCTTGTGGACTTGAACCAGCAGTGACTTCAATGTGTACTGAGGATTGGTTGTTAGCCAGAATGAAAAGATGGCCCTTTGATAATGGCACAGAAGTTAGAACTGAAGATATACACCTGGGAGCCAACTCTTCCGTCACAAGGGTGTTATCACTCAGCTATGAGTTTTCTTATCCTGTCACTTCTTGTGGGATCAATAAAATTGTGTTCCAAAAGAACGACGTTTTCCTGTTATCTGAGATCCAGTACAGATCAGCACAGGGCGGTACCCGTACATTTCAGGTGTTTTGCTTGGCAAAGAGGGTTAGATTCTCATCCGTGGTGCCGTTTCGAATGAGAGGGGATACTGTCAACCCCCCGAGTGGTAACTCTCAAAGGACAAAAGAAGAAAATCAGCCGCCAGTTTTCAGACAAAGTAATGTACGTGAGCCTAGCTTTGTCTGTTTTAACAAGGACAGACTACCTGGGAATTACTGGGTTGATAACGTCTGCAGTACGACTTCCTCTCCCCCGCCAAGATGCAGAAGCCAAGTAGTTCAGAGCTGCCTGGGGCCTTGTTTCAGAAATGTTCTTGTTCAGTGTGATCGAAGATGAGCAGCGACCTGCTACCCATTTACAAGCCTCCTAGGATTTCGGATGGTGTGCATCTAAATGGGAAACTTAAAATTTTAAATGTGTTAAATATAATTGAAAGGGATATTCTAACTTTGTACGTGAAGTCAAGTTCATAATAAAGCTGTGCCTGTATGAAAAAAAATGGTAAAAGAAATAAAACATAGGAGGTACAATAGGTAAAACATATCTAGATCCATAGAAGACTAGCATAAACAGAGAAAAGTAAATGTTTAAAAAAGAGAAAAAACTAAATTATATTTATATTACAATGTATATGTCTATATCCATATCTATGTTGTTTTTCTGAAGAAGAAAAAAAGAATAAATGTATCTGAATCAGGTGTGTGAAATACTGAAGCAAGAAATGCTTGAAGTTTTATATTAGAATGTTCAACTCTGCCTTAAGGGAAAAATGATATGAATCAACCAATACCATGGCATGTCCTGGACCCATTACTGGACTTTCAGAATAGAAAAATGAATCCTATAGCTGGCTTTTAGATTTCTTCTTCCCCACCCTTCCACTCCACCCCTGTAGGCCCTGGCCTTGGGGAAGAGTTACAGGTGCCCACAGCAAGAATCTGAGAGCCCCCGCATTGGGACAGTAGATGGGAAGAAAATGTGTCCAGTGTGCTAGTTGACTTTCATAGTATGAAGTTTGTTGCAAATATCTCTTTTCTTTCTAAACAATTTTGATTTCACAAATAAAAACCACTGATTCTAGACAAAGAAAACAAATAAGATAAATACTCTATTTGAGAAAAATAGTGGATTGCTAAGAGAAAAAGGAGGTGGCCATTTTTTAAATTTTCCAACATATTGTCTTTTAATAATTAAGGCAGCAAATATTTCACAAAGGCCAAGCTATACAATTCGCACATACAAGCACTTTGAGGAAATATTTATTAAAATCCAAGCTGAGACACACATGAATCAAAATTAAAATGAAGAATGGAAAACTGGAGATAAAATATAAAGATGGTGAGCAGTTGTTCAATTCACATGAAAGAACTAATAATAAAAATGGGTCATATTATTGCTTTTCAGTTATATCATGACATAAGCAACAAAATCAGTAGAACTAAAAGAAAGAGAAGTCTGTTGAAGTGAATTTAAAATCATATCCCAAGTAAGAGCTCAATAGTTATTAATTCTATCAAATTAGTTTTAGAGATAAAAATTACACATAACCAGAAAACTAAACAAAATACTAATTACATATTGACAAGTATGACTAACAGAAGCGTCCAAGTATATCTAACAACTAATTGAGACAATGTTTTATATGGTGATGTAAATAGATTTAATAAATTTTCTAAATTTACTAAATCATTAAAAGCATTAAAACTTATAAGAACTTAAAAGTCAGTAATGCATTCCAAATAATCTCAAGAAACACACACACAAAGAATAAAGCACAAGAAAATACAGCTTCTGCAGCAAAAGACTGAAAATAAGGGAACAAGAAATTTAAGACCACAGTTTAGCAGCAATCACATTTACCACATCCCCGAAGATAAACAGGATAAACCAGTCTATAAAGATTTAAAGATTCTCTAATTTGATCAGCAGTGAAGTCCAATCTCATAGTGGGTTTAAGGGAACTTGTTTAAGAGAGTGGCTCTAAAGCAACAAAAGAGACGAATAAAAAAGACATTTTTCAAAAATGCTAACAAAAAGAAGGTAAAATTGGTGATATTAATGGTTGAATTAAAAGCAAGGAGCCAAAGGGCACTGAGGAATTCAACTTGTCCTTTTAACACTTTATAAACCAAGGCTGTTCTGAAGTCTCTGCAAACAAGTAAAAACACTGTGAAGATATAATAACACTGTGAAGACATAACAGTACAAAATTCGTAAACTAGCAAGAATAGCAATAACATGAGTAAAATAAAATAAATTAATAGATTAAATAACTTAAATGGTTTTTCACAAAGCAAAAATTGTATAATAGCAACACAGAAGACAACAATATTATTTTGAACATACCTTTCAGCTAATTTGCTCAAATAGTCCAAATAAATATATATAAATATAGCTTTAAAATGCCAAACTCCTTATCTACTATATTATAGAAATTTGGTTATTCATAAACTTCAAGTAAGTTTTTGTTTTTGTTTTTGTTTTGGTACTGGGGATTGAACTCAGGACCTTGTGCTTGAGAGGCAGGCACAGTGCCACTGAGCTAAATCCCCAGCCCTCAAGTAAGTTTTTAAAATTATTTTTAGATTTAGAAAAGTTATCTGCTTACAGTGAACTATAAGTAGCATAATGTAAAAGGAAAAACATAATACTATAAAAGACTTAAAAGTTCTGTGCTCACAAACTCCTGCATTTAAATATGAAGCCAAAACCAAAGTGTAGAATAGCTAGAGAACAATAAAAGGCCATCATGAGCTATAAAAGTTGATGAAGATTGTGATCAAAAGAAAATTTATAGTCTTTTAACAGTTACCTAAACAATAGAAAAGGAAAACATGAATTTAAGTATTTTACATAGGAAATTAGAAGAGTAATAATAACATGAAACTAAAGAAAAATAAAGAGAATGGTTGTGATAAAAAATTAGTAAATTGAGAAAAGAAACAGAGTTGAAAGGTAAATTGACTAAATGACATGTGTACATCATATAATGAAAACAGATATTATGTATTTTCCCATAAACTAATATATAACATATATACATATTGTAGCTAGTATTTTAAAAAGTTTTGGGGAAAACATAAAAACAAAAATAATTGAATACTTTGATAACTATATATTATAAAAACACTATATATTATATACATGCCACAGGTACATAAAGCTAAATTCATGTATGCGTGTACATACAAATGTTTATATGCATGTACTGTATAAACCGATCTTGGAAAAGTAAAATAAGGAAGAAACACATATAATAAAGAAGAAGAAAAAATGGAATATGTTCATAAGTATGGATGCACCAAAATGGGAAAAGATTTACACTTTGGAGATAAATTTGAAAGTCTAAGTAAAATGAATGCTTTCTTACAATAACAGAAATGACAAAATCAGTCCTGGAAATCAGTTGAGAACAAAATTTCAATTTTCCTGAAGAAAGAAAATAAAGAAAAATGTTTATGCTAATCCAAAGTAACCTAACCTCCTTCCTAAACAAAAGGTTTTCAGTGGAAAATTCTAACCACTCCTGAGGAACAGATAATTTAATATTTTTCTGAAATATTCTATAAAACATGGAAATAAATAATTTCCTGACCAATTATAAAGGAAATATAAATTAATATTTTAAACCCATAAAATTACCTTTTAAAAAAAAGTGAGTGAAAATAATTTGGCTTGTTACCATTTTTGTATATAAAACAAATCATTTGTTTCCTTGGGAAATTCTCAAAATATTAAAAGAGATAGCACACAATTAAATAGATTTATTCACAGAATGTGAAAACAAACCTCTACATAAAATCCATTAATGTATTTTAAAAATTATAAAGTAAAAAGATAGCATATAATAATTACATATGTAACAAATTTTTATTTGGTAAAAGTTTTCTATTTAATCTTGATTTTTCCTTTTAATAAAATGATAATTGGTGTTTTTGTACAGCACTCTAAACACACACACACACACAAACACACACACACACAGATGAATATGTATGTCTGCAGACAAAGTCCACAATGGTTAAATATCAGAAGAATCTCCATTAAATTCATTAACAATCAAAAATAATGAGTATTATTATCACTGTTATTTGGATTTCAAATAATATCTTTTAATATTGTTCAAGAAACACCAAATGATTTGAGTATTTTTAAATATGAGACATAAACACTAAAGAAATTTTTAAATGATTAAACAGCAGAAAAACTAAAATAACTAAACCCAAAAGCAATAGGAGTATTTACTGAAAGATGAAGCTATAAATAAGCAACTTTATGGCATTTAATATACAATATAATAAGCTACAAAAAAGCAACTATATGGAATTTAATATACAAGTATGAAATATAGATTAGTAAAGTCCTCTTAAAAATAGATTAAATATTTAGATGTGAAATCAATCACAAATTTGAGAAATTGGTAAAGTATAAAATGCTATTATGTAGGTATAGTATTTGTAAAGGCTTCAAAAGAAAATATAAAATTTATTATACAGAAAGATTCAGTATTGTAAAAATGTTAAGTTCAAACTAAATTAATCTAGAGATTTCACATGATCCAAATAAAATACCACAGCCTTATTTTTGGAACTTGAACAAGCTGATTCTAAATTTCTTATGTAAAACTAAACATGAAAAACTGGCAGGAAGTTTCTGAAAAAATTAAAAGTAGTAAAAGAGAATACTTCAATAAGATGAGATATATTTTAATACTACTATAGTTGTTTGGTTTTGTGCTGATATCTGATAGGAAGCCTAATCAACTAAATAGAAGAAAAAGTCAAGAAATAAAGGGAAATGTATTTGAGAATCCATTGCATCATAAAGCTAGCATCTCAAATCCCAAGAAAAATAGCTTTCTCAATAAATGATGCTGGGAAAGCAAGCTAGCTATTTATCTTAAAGCTAGTTATTGTCATGAAAGTTGACCCCAACAAATTTTAGGTATATCAAAGATTTGAACATAAACATAAAACTTTAAAAGCAATAAAAAATTGGCATACTTAAAAATGGTTTTCTTTTATGAGAATACTCCTTTTATTAAGGGGAGCCAGCCACAAGCAGCATAAGAAAAGTATGATAAATATGACTATATCAAAATTAAAGTATTCTATGACTCAAAATGCAGAAAATGAAAAATAAAAGTAATGCTTATTAAATAGAATTATTTCTCTTATATGTAATCAACAAGTATAGAATTTCTTTTAAAATAACTGAACTGAAAAAGTCCAAACACAGAAAGAACTGTAGTTTTACATACAGTATCCAATTGCAGAGTTAAAATAACCTTTGACTAAAAATGCTATTTTGAGGTATTTATCTAGCATTTACATGGG